ATCTAGATTAAGGTGGTGTTGTTGGAATCTTAATTAATTGTATAAAATAATAAATCTTTAAAGACAAATGATTTATTTTTGATAACAATAAAAGTTTCATTACTTTAAAATATTTTAATAAGTAAGTATCTTTTATGTTTTAATTTAAACAAAGATATTTTTATTATTAGCATATATGTTAAAACTCTGAGTTATATATGCTTAGTATAAATGCTAAAATTCTATTATAATATTTATGTTAAAAATATTTTTTTTTTATTTTTTATAATTATAGATTTAAATTTGTCAAATATATCAAAATACAATTGCCTCTTTTAAAAGTTTTTTCACCATGAACATAAACACCACACACACTTACATTATTCACAAAATTATGTTACCAATTTGATTTTTTTAAAATAGGTATCTCCTTAGAGAAGCTTTTAATAGAAGAGTTGTAATCTTTTTTGTAGTTGAGTTGAGTAGAGTAGAGTTTATTTACATTTTAAAATTTAAAATATAAAATTTTCATGTGCATTGAATCATAAAGAACTATTTTTTTAACCCATTATTTTGTTTAATTTAATACATGAATATTAATAGTTTTTTTTCATAAGTATTTTCTTCAAATCTTAATAGCATTTTCAACTAAAAAATATTAGATTTATGACTACTATATTCGTATTTAAAGCTTGATTTATGGTGATTAATTAAAGATTGATAATGATGAAAATCAATTTTGATTATTATTAAAAATAAAAATTAGAATTAGAATTAAGTATTTAATCTTTTATTTTCCAAAATTCATTATAAAAAATGAGAGATGAAGAAAGAGTTTCCAACAAGTCTTTTTCTGAATTTTTACACTTTTCCTCACTTCATTTTTATATAGTTATGAAAAATAAAAGAGATCATGGTTAAGTAAAATTCAAAACTTCAAGGGGTTTCAACTGCTTCTACTCCTAACTAGCACAAAGTCATTAATTTTAACCATAGTTCTGAAAAAAACAGTAATTTTTTTTAGTTTTAAATTAATATTTTTTTATAGTTATAATATTTTAATGCTAAAAATAAAATAAAATATTATATTAATATATCACCAAATTAAAAAAAAATAGAAAACAATCTCTATCAAACATGAAAAAGCTCAAAGTCCATGCATGTAGAAGAGATTGGTTGAGACTAGCATGATGCATCTTGATATCTGCCTTTGAGGTGTCCCATTCACCTAGGAGATTCTAAACTCCCGTGGCCATCAGCCTTGATGAATAAAAATAAAAGCAAATGAGAAGATATATATAATGATAAAAATAAATATTTTGTTTTCTTTTTTCTTGTTAAATCACGTTGATCTCCATTTTTTCTTAATTTTTAAATTTTTTAAATCTAATCCAAACTAGTTTTTAAGTTAATTCAGAAATTATATTGATCAAAGAATATTCATTAATTTGGTTATGTTTTTTATAACCAAGTTGATTGCATTAAGTTAAACTATTTTTTTATAATAAAATAATAATTTTTTATAAAAAATAATTGATACAAGTTAATCTTACAATTCAATAACTTAATATCATCATGAAATATACCAACTATGAAAAGAAGTTGTAGGATTTTAAAATAAGATGTGAGCAACTAATTAATATGTAGTTAATAAAGTCAAAACATTGATATCAAGATGCTCATTTTATATAGAAAAGAAATCAATAATAATAATACCAAATAAGAAAAGGAAGTCAAGATTCAATAAAGGGAGAATTGAAAATTTGGCAATCACAGCAAAGAGATAACACTGTAAGCCACAAATTCATGATGTTGACCAAACATGACCCACGCACACCACCAACCAACCAACCAACCAAGCAAAGGGGGTGTCGATAAATCAAGACCAGAATAGTGATGATGGCTAACATGGCAGAAGCATTGTGCATGGAACCAGTAATAAATATTTTTTGGCATTGGATGGAGAAGGAATATATAAGAGAGGAATATCTTAGAGAAAGATCTTAGCCTCTCATTTCAATGTTGATTGAATTCTTCCCCCATGCTAGGTGACACCTCCTCCTGCTTAAATTGCTCCATTGTATCTTCCCCTTTTCTTAGGCTTTGTGTTGGTATATGTGACACATGTACATCAATTTAAACTTAGTTTGGTTTAGCAAGTTAGCTGAAATTTGATTTATTTGATCCATGTTCTGAGCTTAATTAAAAAGATCAACTTATAATTAATGTAATTGATCTAATTAAAATTCAATTTATTTATTTTTTAAATTATTTCAGCTATTTAAATTTTTTTAAATAAATCTTAAAATAAAATAATGTTAAATTAACTTAAATCAACTTGAATTAGGTTGTTTCTAACAATAAAAGCATTTAAAACATAAAAGATATTATACTAAGTGTTTTTGTAAACGATTATAAGTACATCATCCGTATCGTTAGGGTAATTCAACAAGATTTATGAATCCATTAATCAACGAGCATTTATTTATATATCAATTAGTGTTGAAAATGCCTTTTATATACATACATTAATTAATTGAATATTGAAACACTGAAATCCCAAAACAAAATCTAACAAAAAAGTTCGAGAGTTAAGACTTGAGACTCGATCGAGACACTAGGAGTGGCCTGTGCATAGCCTAGTCCCACAGTGGATTAAGGTTTCAAATCCAACAACACAAAATGATAAAATATAAACCCTCGAAATATTATTTTGCATTTAATTCTCTATGTTTTAACATTTAAGAGGAGACACATGGTTTGCAATGAAATAATTTCTTTATTATCTTTAATTTACTTGGGAATTAACTTATGCTTATTTAAAAAATATATTTTTTAATTTAAATTAATATCTTTTGATATTTCTAGATTATTTAGATGTGATGATATTAAAAATAATTTTTTTAAAATAAAAAATTATTTTAATATATTTTAAATAAAAAATACTTTAAAAACAATTAAATTACACTTTTAAAATCACTGAAATTGTAAAATATGTAACTTGTACAGCCTAATGAGGCTTGATGCGAAGAATATATCGGCTCAGGGATCTATTTTCAGCCCTCTGAACAATAAAAACACCTGCCTTGAAATCCTGTATATATATATGTAGATCGTCAGGGCCAAGTTCATGTCGAGAAAAGAAGTATTGAAAACTGAAAAGCATTCTCCACCCTTCAATCCTACAAGTGAAACGGAGAAGACGAGAAGGTTTCCTCTTCTTTGTGACTCACAAAGGGTTATTGGTGTGAAATCCATGGATCAAATTGCCATGCAACCTTCTGAAAATTGGTTTGAGCTTTGATTTGTATACACCAAACAGCAACAAGGGAAATTGTCTCCTGTTTAGATCTCTTAATAAAGCAGTCATTCACTTGCAAGAAAGACATCCCATCGAACAACTGAAACCCAAATTTCACCGAACTTAGGTTGTCTTTGCACTTTCCTATACATTATGTTGTTTTGTTTTTTTGTTTTTTAAAATTTTTACTTTTATAGTTTCAACCGAGTTGGATCCACATACCAAATATGATTGAATTTAATAGCTGTGATGGTTAAACATCAATTTTTTTTATTTTTTTTTATAATGACTTGTCCTTTCAGGGAGTCAATGTAATGTCTCTTTAATTTATCTCTTGGGCTCTTGTACCATGGACTCATGAAGAGCAAAGTTCTGATTTTAATATTTTTATTTGGTGAGATACATCGTTGACTCATTGCCAACCCTCTCAAATTGCAATCATTTTAGCATTTCCCCCTAGATTTAATAACTAATAGAACCAAAGTTTGTTTCGATATCTCTTAATTGAAACTTAAATTAAAACAATAAATAATTTATCAAATCTAGCTCATAAAATTATTGTTTTAAAATCAAAATAATATTGTTTTAGTTAATTTTTTTCAATAAAAATCAACAAATTCATAATTAGGTCTTGATGAAAGTAACTTTATTACTGGATTAACTCATGTTTTTTTATTAAATTAATTTATTTTTCTAACTCGAGCTAAAAGTTTCAAAACAATGCAGGAAACGCTTGCGAAAACGTACGTGTAGTGGAGGGCTTGTTCAAACCCTTGCGTGAAGAAGGCGTCACCTCCATCTTCTCCCTCCCACTTGTTTCAGTGCTATCTCTGTGGGCTAAAAGGGGCAAAAAACGTCATATTCGCCAGCATATTCTCTTCTTTCAATCTCGAACAAATTGACCCTTATTTCTTGCCTGTTCCAAAACCATCGCCTGTTGCCCACCAAAATCCATCACTCCTTCATGCATCATGCACCACTCCACACTCCTTCCTTACCTCTCACAATTTTATTTGATCCAAATTCCACAGACAAAATTTCCCTGTCTCTTACTCTTGTCATCATTCACTCCCTCCCAAATCTTGTTATCTAATAATAAAAATATTCCAAAAACCTCTGTTTTCTGCCCTCTCCATGCACCATACCTTAAAAATAAAATAAAGTATTTTCTTGTGAATATATCGAGCATATATATAGCTTGTCGTGAAGTCTGAAGATAGTTAATTTGATCGGTTAAAATTTAAAAGAAATATGGATGATTTTCTTGAAAATCAGATTAAATAAGGATTTAGTTTGGTTTGCTTCGAACATAATTTTTTTTTTATTTGATGAATAATAAGAATCTTTAAATTAGCTTTACATTTCATTCACTCCAAAAACGAAAACATATGATTTGGTTCTGGTGGGAAGATGATTGAAAAGAATCCTAATTCAGTCCCTAAACTTATATAACTGTTTTCAATTGAGTCCCAAAATAAAAAATCACCAATAAATTCCTAGCAACAAACACATCTCTCATTCGGTCACTCAACAGTTTGTATTAATATTTTCCATTACAATGTGCATAATTTATGCAATAAATGGCTGCACTTCAAAGAAAACATAAAAATCAATACTTGTAAGAAAAAAAGACTCAATTGAGATATTAGTACAAATTTAGGGACTAATTTAGGTTTATAAAAAACACTATCACTACTTATTTATCCAGGCACCCTTCCCATTCTTCAAATCACCTTTCCTCTCAAACATTCTTAATTTCTCTTCAGTTATAGAATCAAGCCTTTACCTGTAGCTTCTTAAGCTCAAATCAATCAACAATGGCTACTGACACAGCCAAGATCTCTCAGCTCAAATCAGCTGTTGCTAATCTCAGTCAAATCAGGTACTCTTCTTCCCTCCATTTCAGTTGATAATCAAGGTAATCACATTTCTTTTATGGATTGATGAATTAAGAGATCCGTTTTTCGATTCTCTAATCTGAATTGCGTGTTTTCTTGCAGCGAGAGTGAGAAAACTGGATTCGTCAACCTCGTTTCTCGCTATCTCAGGTCATTCATTTTTCTTCCGTTATTTTTAAATTTGTTTTGTTCTGTTTTGTTGCTTGAAAATGAAAAAAAAGAAGATTTTTTTGAGTTGTCTTTGATAATTGTGATGTATTAGCGTGTTCAATGTGATCAATTTTATTTATTTATTTATTTTGGGTCTGGGTGGATTTGTTTTTTGGTTAGATGATATGAGATCTGGGATTTGAAATTTATTGAATTATTGTTATTAATTGTTGGGAATTTGTGTGGTAAAAGTGGGGAAGCGCAGCAAGTTGAGTGGAGTAAGATTCAGACACCTACTGATGAAGTAGTGGTTCCTTATGATACCTTGGCGCCAACTCCGGAGGGTAATCAATAATGATCCAAGTTTATTTTGGATTTTTTTTAGAGCTGAATTTGTGTGGTAATTACTTAAAGTGGTTTGAATTTGTTGCAGATCCGGATGAAACAAAGAAGCTTTTGGACAAGCTTGTTGTTTTGAAGCTTAATGGAGGTTTGGGGACTACAATGGGATGCACTGGTCCCAAGTATGTATAACATTCGCTTTGATTTGGACAATGCATTTTAGTTTGTTGATCAAATCACTGCAAGGAAAAAAAGTGGAAACTTTCAGATTGACGGGCCCCACTGTGGGCTTGTTGTTGTCTGTGTTGAATAGAACTGCCCTTTTGTTTGCGGGGCAGAACGGATGTTTTGGAGAGGTAGATGATGATGAGCTTGATTTATGTTGTTGTATTTTGCAGGTCTGTCATTGAAGTTCGTAATGGATTGACATTTCTTGACCTTATTGTCATCCAGATTGAGGTTAGTTTTTGTTATTTCTGTTGTGCTTTGATTTGATTTTGGTTACATGAAACTAAATGTTTTGATTGCTGCAGAATCTTAATAAGAAATATGGGTGCAGTGTTCCCTTGCTTCTAATGAACTCATTCAACACTCATGATGATACACAGAAGGTGCTCTATCCTTGCTTTTTTTCCCCTGCTATACGTGTTTTTTCCTTGTTAGACTTTACTTGTACACTAACCTACTCTTTTGTCCAACTTAGATTATTGAGAAGTACTCGAACTCAAATATTGAGATTCACACTTTTAATCAGGTTTGTAATACTACTGCTTGATCAGTTCTTTGAGATTCACTTTTCACTTTGCTGAAAATTTGAAATCACAAATTTACACAGAGCCAGTACCCTCGTCTGGTTGTTGATGATTTTGTTCCATTGCCTTCCAAGGGACATACTGACAAGGACGGATGGTATGGTTTCTGATTCCTGTATGATAGCATCTGAAGTGCAATGCTCTATCAGTCTCTCAATTTTACTGTTTTCCATGTGCCATCTTTATATGTTCTAACAGATGCACTGTGGACATGATAGATAAACCACCTGTTTGAGAACTGAAGTGATTTTTTATCTAGCTGTACACATACATTTGCCAATAAAAAGCACTGAAATGCCTTTTCCCCTCTGTAATCATAATATATTTAGCAACGGAGGCCTCTCTGCTGTAAAACTTGGGTAGAGCTTGATTCCTTTTGAATTCCATTTAAGAAAGTAATTGAAAACTCCTCCATTAACTTGGTGCTATGAATTTGTGAAGCTCCATTGGTCAATTTCACTCTTTACTTCTTGAGTTTTATATAAGCTTTTCTAGTGATACGTGATGAGGTTTACCTATTATGACATCATCTGTTTATTGGAAACTTAGTGATGAATGTAACCTAGCTTAGTTAGTGGAGTTTGTGGATCATCGGCCGGTGAATGAAGGTATATCTCAATTGGAAGACAATGTACAGCATGATAAATGTTAGCACATCTATGATGTTAGCTGTTACTCTCAAAGCTTTTGCTAGCAGATAGTATCCGATCAAGGTTGCTCACCTCGAAAGAGAAAAAAAAAACTTCTTCAGTGTGATCCCCCATGAGCAAATTCTTATAATTCAGAAATGAAGGCAAAATAAAACCTATACAATAGTTGGGATGGCATAATGCATGGAATTGGTTTGAGTGAATGGTCTAATTTATCGAGAATTCTTAATAAATATTAGTCGTCTTGCTTGTTCTAAAAAATTGTTTTTACTGGTGTTCTCTCATGTGAAGGTATCCTCCTGGACATGGTGATGTGTTCCCATCCCTAAAGAACAGTGGCAAACTTGATGCTTTATTGTCGCAGGTTGGAGTTGTGATACAGCTTTTGCTTTATCCTTGTAATGCTGGTCTGTTAAATTCTTCTTATCCCTACATGTTACCTTGCAGGGTAAAGAGTATGTGTTTGTTGCCAACTCAGACAACCTCGGTGCTGTTGTTGATTTGAGTATCCTGATTTTGGTTCCCATTGTAACCTTCGACTTCAGGGTTTTAGTTTTGTAACAATCTGTTCTAGTTTCATTGTAACCTTCGACTTCAGGGTTTTAGCTTGCTATATCCTTGACTTAACGCTACAGAAATCTTAAATCATCTGATCAGAAACAAGAATGAATACTGCATGGAGGTACAGAAAGATGAATGCAGCCAGTTTTGATGAATTTATGGATTCAGAATTTTTTTTCTTGTATTTGTGCTTCTGCAGGTGACACCCAAAACCCTGGCTGATGTGAAGGGCGGTACTCTCATCTCTTATGAAGGGAAGGTTCAGGTACACACCTCTCACTTAGTGTTTACAACTCATTGCTTTCCTGCCTCGAGTTCAGCAGTCCAACAAAAGTGGATAAAATTCCAATAAGACCCTTGCATAAATTATGCTAAATTGCACTTGCTTAACTTGCAAATGACTTGATTATGTTGACCTTGGAAGTGGTTTCATTTATCCTATCTGACATTTTTGTCTTGTTTTTTCTTGTTCACCCTAAATTTCAGTTTTGAGGTTACATATTCGTTTTGTTCATGCCATGTTTGTTCCTTTCTTTGGGAATGCAATCATGATGAGCTTTCTTTTCATATAAAAACAGACAGCATTACATGTAATGCAGCCATTCACTTTATTCCCTCTAAGGCTCTAACAGCCCTCAAGTCTCTCCTTTTGCCCCCTTAAATCAAACCCACCATAGAAAAGAGGAAGAAAAAGATGGCTTCTGGCACCAACTAATGTTTTTCTCTTTGATTATGTGATGCAGCTCCTGGAAATTGCTCAGGTCCCTGATCAGCATGTAAGACATGCTCCGATTCTTCCATTTTTAGAAAATTTGTTCCTTTAAATTTCCCTGTCCTATCTCTATAATGGATAGCTGGCAGTGCCTTTTAGCCATATATACATTTTGTAGATCAGTAGCCTTTAGATAAAGGCAAGGGACACTATTGAGGTGCTAGCATACTGTGTCAAGGTAAATGGCACTGGTGAACAGGGAGATTTGCCCACTTTGAGGCTGGCAGCATTTCTGTAATCGAAACTGATTTATCCATTTCCTTAAATCCATCTGGCATTTGTGAAGCAGTGTGCCTTGATGGAAATGGAATTAGCAGAGCTTTAAATATTTTTGGAGAATATCTTCAATGAGTTCATGCCCAATTGATTTTGTTTGAAACAGGTTAATGAGTTCAAGTCAATCGAGAAGTTCAAAATTTTCAATACAAACAACTTGTAAGTCAACCTTGCCATCAATGCAGTAATGATACTTTGATAGACTATTAACAATATATGCTATAACAGGTGGGTGAACTTGAAGGCAATTAAAAGGCTTGTGGAAGCTGATGCACTTAAGATGGAGATCATTCCAAACCCAAAGGTATATTGTCATTTCTTTCCTTTCATCTACTGTTTCTTTGTTTGCAGAATGACGAGTTTAGAACAGCTAATTATAATAATGTTGATCTCACTTTCAGGAAGTGGATGGAGTCAAAGTACTTCAGCTAGAAACTGCAGCTGGAGCAGCAATTAAGGTACTTGCTACTCAAAATGATTTTCCATCAAGCTTTAATGTTGAAATTGCAATTCTGATATTATTCTTCTTCTCTTGTCTACCAGTTTTTTGATCATGCAATTGGTATAAATGTACCTCGTTCTCGATTCCTTCCAGTGAAGGCAACTTCAGATCTGCTTCTTGTTCAGGTTGCTTTCTTTTCTGTTGCTGTCATCGGATCTCGGTGAAGTGTTAGACTTGTTTAACTCATTTGGTTGCCTCTTTTGCAGTCTGATCTTTACACTTTAGTTGATGGTTTTGTCATCCGAAATCCAGCTCGAACAATTCCTGCAAATCCTTCTATTGATCTGGGACCAGAGTATAAGAAGGTAAAACATTATTTTATAATTATTCTTAGGAGTTCTATTATTGTTTTTTGTCATATCGATTTTTTGCCCTCTTTGGCAGGTTACCAACTTCTTGAGCCGATTTAAATCGATCCCTAGCATTATTGAGCTTGATAGTCTAAAGGTGGCCGGTGATGTATGGTTTGGTGCTGGTATTACTCTCAAGGTATTACATGTTCTGTTTTTTTTTTACTTTCTGATGTTCATTCTTTAATCATGTGCCCTTTTTCTTTTTTTTTTACTTTTCTGATGTTCATTCTTTAATCATGTGCCTCCCACCATATATGTGTGTGTGTACCATTGGTATGTGTTTTCTCTAAATAAAATTAGCAGATGTAGTTGCAAGTGTTTTGAACTTGACTAACTTGAATGTTTATCCTTATTCTAGTATAATGTTGTTGGTGAAAATGATATAATTTGTAAGGTGGTTATATCTTTGATATACTTATGTCATGATACAAGCAACCGATTAGTGTTTAAAAAAAGGTCGTTAAACTGTTGTAGTTCCATGAAGGTCGTTTCATATGAGGGAAAATTTGGAGATTAACTTTCCCATTGAAATTGTCTGAGGTTGCTGCTTTCAAGAGATGTCAGCCCTTGCTTTCAAAAGTTCTCTGGTGTCTGATCCCAATTCTGTTTACTCACGACACTCCCAACCTCTTGCTAAAGACCTTTTTTATCCTGTTCTGATCATGCTACGAAAACTATTAAGGGACTCTTCACTTAGCATTGTTTTTGAAGTGTTTTGATAATAGATGACAGTTTTTGACCGTATACTGGCATGTTAGTGACCACTGAGCTCTACACCTGCCCTTGCATTGACTTTCAAGGAATTGCCGCCAACTTATTTTACTTCCTTTGTCTGTAATATGTGACCTGTAATCATCGCTTTGCTCCCTTTGTCTTTCTTTGGTAGAAGCCTTCACAACTGACTTGAAATTCTGCTCTCACCTCTGTAGGGGAAAGTGAGTATCTTGGCAAAACCTGGTGTGAAATTGGAAATACCAGATGGAGCTGTTCTTCAAAACAAGGTACGTTACTAAACCTACGTAACTTATTGCAATTAAACATACTTTACAGTGACTCACTATGGAGTCATCATTTTTTTGTTTTTCTGCCCAGGAAATCAATGGCCCGGAGGACCTCTAAGAAGTTGCTTGGCGCAACTGTGTCGAAGAAAAACTCTGCACAGCCTTGTGTTCATGTTGCAAATCTCCTTTAGATTGGTAGAACAATAAGAGATGAGTTCAGTTTGCAGTGTGTCTGAATTTTGAAATTATGTCGCAGCAGCATTGTAATCCTAACTTATAAAATACCCGAGGGTGTAAACTGATACATATGAATATTGGAACTGTATGGTCCAATTTTTGGTTCAATTATCCATCACTTTTTTCGGATATTAAAGGTTTACAAGTATCTGCATTTTTTATTACCTCATGGAAACTGTGGTCGGCGTCAAGACCTGGTATTTCCATTTCTATTTCCAGCAAGAGATCTGAGGAGATCTTGAGATTGAGACGAGCTGGATTTTGAAAATGATTTTTATTGTAGCCTCGTGATATCATAGAAAGAGAGGGTATTAATTTAAATTTAGATAAAAAAAATTAATGCAAAGTATATATATATATATAAAAGAGGGTATTAATTCTTTAAAAAATAATAAAACAAGGGGCATGCATTGCTTGGCAGGGTGAAAAATACATAAAAATGTATTAATTAATTTTTTAGAAAAGATTTTGAAAATGATTTTTATTGTAGCCTCGTGATGTCATAGAAAGAGAGGGTATTAATTTAAATTTAGATAAAAAAAATTAATGCAAAGTATATATATATATATAAAAGAGGGTATTAATTCTTTAAAAAATAATAAAACAAAGGGGGGCATGCATTTCTTGGCAGAGTAAAAAAATACATAAAAAATGTATTAATTAATTTTTTAGAAAATAATCAAAAATAAAAAAAATAAAAACAAAGGAGGTCCCGCGATGCTGTTTTTTATTGGCGAGGATGACGTGTTTTTCTTTTTGATTTTTTTTAATACTCAATGACATAATTCCTATTTTACGACATAAAAGATGAAGAAAAAACAGAATAAGAAAATATATTTTCTTATTTTATTTTATTTTTTGTTCTGAAAGCACAAATATTGACTCCATCAGCGGTGATTTCCTCTCTCTCAAGGAAGTTCAGCTGAGCTTCATTGACGACCAAGTAATACAATGAAGCAATGGAAAGTGCGTAAATCCTTAGTTCTCATCAGTTAGCTACAACAACATAGCTTGAAATATATATAAACAAGCAAAATCAAATATCCCACTGTTGAATGCAAGACCATCATCCTAGAGATAAAATGTTTCGAAACAACTGATGAGTTGACAGCCAAAAGTTATGGAAAAGTAGCAGCTGATTATTTTTTATGTTTCAGTTCCCAGGCAGAGATCATATCATAAATAACAGAAGTCTTATCCACAGCATCACCAAAGCTCAATCGAAATCTGAGCAATTAAAAGCAGATTTAATTTTCAGAACAGTGGTGCTGATGAGGGTATTCACTGTTGCCACAGATTCCATGTTGAATTCTGCGGAGGATGAGGAATTAGGGCCAGAGACCAGAATTTGGAAGGCTATTGTAAGGAGTGAACCTCCTGAGTTTGACCCAGTATAACTGGTGAAACTAGAGTTGTTCCCTCTCGTGTCCATACGGCCGTCGCCAGATATTACAAAACCTGATGGAAGTATGGGAATGATTGATGAGTCTTCACCGCTTATCGCCACGTTCATGGCTGGAATGCCTACTGGAGCGTATACTACCATTGATACCGAGGAGTCTGTGCAGCTCTCTTGCAGTATCAGCATGTTGTTCTCAGCAGGAATGAAAGGCTGTTTTAATTTGATAGAAAGAAAAAAAAAAATCGGTAAACTTGCGTTGATAAACTTTCTGAGAATGAATCAAGAAATTGTCATATTAGGAATATCAGCTATTTTCTACACACCAGAATAGGAGAGAAAGGATGAGAAATTACGCGAATAATGGATATGCAGTTCCCTGGATCAGCCCCATTGGAAATGTGTGAAATCTCACGCACAGGATTGCCATTCGACAGAATATCCCACTGTTGAAGACAATGGAAGGAAATGCTAATTTTTCCATTTCTGTAAACATCTGAATGTGCAAAACATGTACGTATCTATTGATCACAGAATGAACCATTTGTAAACCTGAGTTCGCGATTTCTCGGCCTTAAAGAAGTTAAACACGTTCTGAGGTGAGAGTGGAAGCCAAAAAGAAGTAGCAGCACTAACAACTGTGCCAATCGGCTGGCCTTGTTCTGCATTCTTACAAATAGCCACCCGAACTCCACTATTGTTCCCTTCAGACAATTGACGGAAATCCAGTTTTCCTGACATACCCAAACTTGAAGAGAAAATCTTCACCATCCTGTGGGCTAGGTTTACTATGCTCTTTCTACCCTCATGGGAAGTGACCACTGAGCAAATGGAAGATGTTAAAGCAGCAATATTGCAAAGATTGGGAATAAGAGAAAAGGAAAGGCCAAAAACTGATTATTGTTACCTCCTCCGAGTTCTCGTGGAGGCACAGCTGTAGAGAAAGCGAGCCTCTCACAAATCCTCTGGAGACTAGCAATCCATCTTTCTGCCCCATAAGCATAACTACCACATATGAGATCTCGGTACAGGCGGTGGGTTTGAATCCTGTCATTCGCTTCCACATGTTCTACCCATATTATCTATCAAAGTTTGAGCAATAAGAAATTAGTCTCGCACGGGATCCAGTAAAATATTGTCAGATAAGTTAAGATATAATGCTATGATAACGATTCCATGCTAAATTAGGCACACAATTTTTGAGTCATCATTGGTAGCTCATGGAGACGCATACAAATGCCTGCTTATGACAGTAAAAGATCATATATGATATTTGCCAGTGATGAAAAAGTTGGTATCATATTAATGAGGTTCTGCAGATATGCTTGATTTAGAATAGTCATGCTCATTTATTGATATGATCATTACACTAAATGCAGCCGTTAATCAAATCGTGTCGTGTTGTGGTAGAAAAAGAGTTCAAATATTCTGTTAAAAAAGGATAGAGATGCTAGGCTCCATTCATTTCATAGTTCATTGATTAACTGACAACTGCGCTTCCTCGTTATTCATCAGAATTGGTATCATTCGATGATTGTAAAGCTCATCAGGAATCAGCCCTAATCTGCTTGATCTAGGACAAGCAGTTCTCAGAAGTGCTGCTTGCTCATTCATTTCAAAATTTCTGATACAGATATGCAGGTACTAATCACCTTGGAACATCCATTAGGCATGTCTTGGATCATGCATCCAGAAGGAAGCCGCCAAGCGCAGGAAGGGGATCCGCTTTCTTTCAAGTAGTCATAAGATACATCTGCTATCACCCATTGCCCAGGTTCAAGTTGCTGACACAGGCGAAGGAAGTAAAATTCCCTAGGCGGAACCAAGGGTGATAGTATGTGCATTTGTTCATACATCTGCATTTAACCTCTTCAAATCAATACATAACTCATGCTTTAACAAAATTTAAGGAATGCTAGGAATAATTAGCAACTTAACATACCATCTGCAACGAACCATGACGGTTCCCTACTGTTCCAGCTTCAAGTACCTGAATTGTTCTTGCTTCGGTGACAATTGTCGGGAAGAGATCCACCCATTTGTTCTGTAAAATCAAAGCATATAGTTAAACTTGTTTCCTCTTTAGCAAAATATTATCTGATTTTACAGGATGGAAACTAACAGCCAATATTGAGCACTAACAGGATCCAAGAACATGTCAACCAAGTCCATTCCAGGCATGGTCACTGTTGCCGAATCCTTGGATGATTCGACACGAGCATTGCAACTTATGAAGTGAGCGGCCCTGGGGTAAATTCTCTCATAAATGAGCCGCTCAAGGACGAATCTTCCATCAGATGGAGACTTGATCCAAAAAGGCTCATTTACTCGCAAAAGTCCTATCAACTCATCCATTGCGCCGGCAGCAGTCTCAGCCATGAGTGCATTTTCCATATCTGGAATTCCTTCAAGTCTATATGCCAAATGACTAATGTCCGATCCTGGATTCCGTTCCAAATCAATGCCAGGGTTTCCCATCCTTTGATTCTGGACAAATGTTGGCAGTTCTCCCTGTGAAGATCCAGCGTCAGACGTCAACAAATCAATCTGTGACTTCGGTTTTCCAATAAACTTGGCAAGAAGGATGGATACTTTTTCATGCTGCACAACAATCATAAGTAATCATCACCAAAACTAAATCCTTAAAACTCTGGAGATAAGAACCTATATGTATCATTAAGAAGTATGAGGTGATATTACAAAAGGACTATTGAAAAAAAAATCCAAACTAGCCTCTTCTCTCAATCTATCATTTTCCTGCCTCAGTTTCTGCAAATTAAGTTGGCATTCTTCTTCTCCGAAAGGGGGGCCTCCACAAGCTGGGCAAATCACGTTTTTCATTGCCTCTCTGATCGCAAGATTTTCACAATGAATCCTCTCATTTTCTGTCCGAAGAACTGAATTATCTGATCGTTCACTTTGCGCCTGCGAGATGGATCAGAAGGTACAAGAGCATTGCTCTATCATTAAGGGGTACAATTTATTCAAACACAGAAGCTTTGACTAAGAAATCACGAGTACCTTTGCCTGCGTCCTTCTGTTTTGAAACCAGAACTTGATCTGTTTAGCCTCCAGGCCTAGTTCCCTACTCAACTGACGCCGCTGTTTTTCATTCGGATGTGGACATTCCTTGAAAAATCTTCGTCAGACCAACAAAAACACAGATTATTTTCAACACACGGAAGATAAAGGGGTGGGGGAAGGAAGGACTTTCTGAAGAAACACCAAATATTCTTACAAGATGCATGTACAAATCCTGACATTTAGTAATTAACTAAGCCAAGTAATTAATTAATTAAGGAAGCAAACAAGCCGAACAACACATTAAGGGCCAAACACATAGGAAAATTGACTTAATCAAGACAGAAATGAATGTATTAACACCGCCACCTATCTGAAATGGGGAAATGATGGAAAAATCCGCTTCCATTCACTGATAAATAAAATAGATCCATTATAGATGTCAAGTGAAATGACTTAGTCCAAAAGCCACTCAACTATGCCTTTGCAAGACTATATATCTATACCAACTACTATTCGAAGGCAAATTAAGCCTAATAAAGCCCTTACCAAAAAGAGTAAACCAAGAGAGAAACACCAGAAAAAAAGAACATGAAAATATATACAAGGATTTGCTCATGAACATCAACAAAAGCCCCGAAGTCGTAAAAAATGGATGGAAAAACTAGAAATCAAACCTATCGTATCTCAAGAACATAAAATATAGTTCTT